TTTTGCTTTTGATTGGATAATTAAAATTTCAGAAGACCCAAAGGCATAGTGTTAGAGTGTTACATAGTGCATAAACTAAATATGCTCCCTCCCCCCTCTCTCAAACACACACACACACACACACACACACACAGACACACACACAGTTGCACCAGGAGGATGAAGTTTGAATTCCTCCCCCTCCCTTCAACCCACACATACACGTACCTTTTCCAACTGTTTCACAGAGGATTTAAACTCTGTACTTGCCTGCCATAATGAAAAGAAAAAAAATGTAAAAGGAAAAAGGCAAGAGCTGAAGGCTGAGCTAGTTGCTGCCAGAGTCACCGTGGATGACTCTGCTTAACTGTTTAAAAAAGCCTCTAAAAAAATGCCTGTAAATTCCTGTAAACAGGAGAATGTGCCTCATTAAGTGAGGAATTTTTTGGCTTTTAACCCTTGCTTAGCTCTGCTCGAGTGATCATAAAGTCAGACTAGATGAGGCACCTCGTTCTCCTACTGCCCCCTGTAGAGGGCACTTTTTTAGAGGCTTTTTTAAACAGTTAAGCACTAAGCAGAGTCATCCGTGGTGACTCTGGCAGCAACTAGCTCAGCCTTTTCCCTTTTGCATTTTTTTTCTTTTCATGATGACATTGGTGAGGCTCTGCTTCCCCTGTCTCCCCTGACTGCATGTCCCTGCAGTGATGCCAATCAATCAGCCATTTACTTATCTACATTGACCCCTAGAAAAAACCCTACCAGTGATGCCAATCAATCAGCCATTTTTTCTGTTGTCCATCCAGTTTTCTAATCTATCAAGAATGTTGAATGTTCTTCATCTCTTCTGATCCATTTCCTTTTATTCCTCATTTTTTTAAAATATAGATTGTCCTTAACTTATAATCACAACTGAATCCAAAGTTTATGTTGCTAAGTGGAAAAACATTTAAGTGATTTTTGCCCCATTTTATGGCTTTTCTTGCCATGTTTGTTAAGTGAATCACTGCAGTTGTTAATCACTGCAGTTGTTAGTAATACTGTTAAGTAAATTTCATTTCCCCATTGACTTAGCTTGTCAGAAGTTTGCAAAATGTAATCACATAACCCTGGGATGCTGCAAGCGTCATAAATGTGAGTCAATTGTCAAGCATCTGAATGTAAATTACATGATCATGGGGAAGCTGCAATTGTCATAAGTGTGAGAAAAGGTCATATGTCACTTATTCCAGGACCGTTATAACATTAAATGGTCACTAAACAAATTATTGTAAATCAAGGACAATATATACTAATACTTTTATGAAGATATTGATTTAACTAACCCAGTTGTCCAAGATAGGTTCTTGGTTAACAGTCTCAAAGATCCTTTAAATTCACAGAAAACATAACATAATTAATTAAACACTTATTTCAAATTATAAATTTGACACATNGTATTTATTTCCAACTTCAGTAATTATTGCATAATTACCAGGGGTGGACTACTATGGGTTCGGCCGGGTTCGGGAGAACCAGTACCTAATGTTATGGCCGGTTCGGAGAACCTCCAAATCCCACTGCTGGCAGGCCCTGCCCACCCCACCTTGCCCCTCCCAGGAGTCTCCATGCGGTCCATTTTGGATGTGAGGTAAGTAGAGGCCCACACAAAGGCTCAGGAAGAGGGAAAAAACGGGCTTCCTGGAAGTTCCGGAAGGCTGGAAACTAGCCCATTTCCCGCCTCTGGAGCCCGTGGCAGCAGTTTTTGCCCTCCCAGAGACTCAAGGAAGGCATCCAAAGCCTGGGGAAGGCAAAAAAATGTCTCTCCCCCCCATAGTTCAGGAGGCCGACTAGGCCATGGCCACCATTGCCAGGCCCACCCAACAACTGGGCAGAGAACCCATTGCTGAAATTTTTGAAACCTACCTCTGATAATTACCCTATACTTACCTGAAATATTCAAAAAATAAATTCAGTTCTTGTTATAAACATTCTAACACAATCAACCATTTTTCCATCTATTGTAGAAATCAGAAATGGGAGAAAAAGGCCATCCTACATAAATAGAGAGTATATATTACATACTATGAGAAGGAAAAGGAAGCACAAAGGAGTGCATTTCTATACACAGCTCATATTCTTGAGTCACAGTAAGTATGCAACTGGACTCACAATTCTTGCTCAAAGAGCAGGTGGTATTGTAGGGCTTTTACACAGCCATGTTGTGTACCAGTTATGCCCTTATTTGGATCTTAAGGTCCTGAACAGAGTCATTCATGCTCTAGTTATCTCTTGGCTGGATTAATCTACATGGGGCTCTCCTTGAAGATATTCAGAAGCTGCAGCTAGAGTAGAATGCAGTGCCGTGCACAATCCAGGCAGCTCTTGGGGCTGCACTTGTAACACCCTTATTGTGCAAGCTGCATTGGATACCAAGGTTTTGGTTCTTACGTTAAAGCCATATATGGCATGTTCCTCCAATGGGACAAGCTGGCCCCAATCGTGCCAGCGGAAGAGGCCTACTATGGATCCCATCTGCTAAGGAATTGAAGCAGGCAGGGTCAAAGAGGAGAGTTATTTCTGCTGTGGCCCCATCCCTAAGTCATCATCAACCACCAGAGGTGATTTTTGCTTTCCAGAATGGTATCAAAGCCTGGTTTGTCAACAGGCTTTGGGCTCCAAGGGATTGCTTAAACTGTAGCTGGTTGACAGGATAAGACCACCTCATCCCCATGCCATGTAGCTCAGTTTTAGTATAGTTCTTAGTAAAAAATTAATGCTGTGCTGTTTTATTCTTTTAATATTTTACCTATTTTTCTTGTTTTATAACCAGTAAACCACCTAAAGTCAATTTCTAGGGGAAATGAGTGGCATAAAAATTTAATAAATAAACAATATAAATAAATAATATAAAAAGGGGAAGGAAGGAAGGAAGGAAGGAAGGAAGGAAGGAAGGAAGGAAAGCAGCACATAAAAAGGGGAAGGAAGGAAGGAAGGAAGGAAGGAAGGAAGGAAGGGGTTTTCTAGAAAGAGATTGGGTGTGATCCCAGATTGAAGATTGTAGAAAAAACTACAAGCTTTTGTCTCAAACAGAGTATTTTTCACATGCTTTCCAAATTGAATATCATCTACCTTTTTGAGGTATTGATCTGTCATAAGTGGGATTAACAGCACCCAAGCAACACAAATATCATTCTGGGAAAGCTTTGGTTGTAGATTTTGAACAAAATGGGCATACCTGTGGAAACCTATAGGTGTTCAAAATGTGGGCCATCTTGATGGAATTGGTGGAGGGAAGGTCACCAATGACAGGCAAGAATGTCATCTAGCTCCTTCCAGCACAGATGAAGTTGATAGGACTCCCTTGCTTTAGAAACAGAAGATCTAGAACACTCTCAATGGCCTCCCTGACAATGAAACAGCTTTCATGAACCTCCAGTTCTATTGTGATGTTGTGGAACTGCTTGATATTCTTGTTGATCTCATGAAGGGCAAAATACATACAAAGAATATGCTGGACATTTTTTGGTAATATGCTGAAAGAAAAATACATAAGTATTATCAGAAGAATCCAGTTATAAAACATATAGCTTTGAACCATCTAAAATTGGGTGTGCCTAATTTAATGAAAAAACTAGGGGTGACATAACAGCAGTGTTCCAATATCTGAGGGGTTGCCACAAAGAAGAGGGAGTCAAGCTATTCTCCAAAGCCTTGAGGGGAGGACAAGAAGCAATGGGTGGAAACTAATCAAGGAGAGAAGCAACTTAGAACTGAGGAGAAATTTCCTGACAATTAGACAACAATTAATCAGTGGAACAGCTTGCCTACAGAAGTTGTAAATGCTCCAACACTGGATGTTTTTAAGAAGACATTGGACCATTTGTCTGAGATAGTGTAGGGTTTCATGTCTGAGTAGGGGTAGGACTAGACAACCTCCAAGGTCCCTTACAACTGTTATTCTGTATTCAGCTAATTTCAACCCTTTATATAGAGAGATATTGGCAGACATTTAACCATGTGCCTTTCCCACTATGAGATGCTAACTGAACTATACCAACTATGAAGATCCAACTTTCTCATTCTTCACACATTTGAATAGCATCAATCACTTAAATATTATGAAAGCCCCCACAATTTGGCCATATTGAAAATGACGAAGAGAAATATTACCCCTTTTCCACAAGTTCTATGATAATTCTATTGTTGAGATAGAGGGAGAACAGTATTGAGGGTTTTTTTAAATTTCAATTTTTTGAGAGTTCATGTTAAAATATACCTTTAAATTTCTAGGTATCTAAGACAGTTTATTATAATATGAGCAGATTCCAATTTTATGATTTCCCGAGGGCCACCTCTCAATGAACACAATGCTCAAAATGTAGCAAGCAAGGGAGAAGTACTACATCTGAACCAGTAGAATCTACCTCTTCCCTATATTCCATCATCTTTCTCCCAAAGAAACTGAACTGGAACACACTCATTATGCTAATTAGAGGGCAAATAATACCTTCCTCCAAGTCCTCTTTTTGTTGTTGTAGAGAAAATGTTGTTTGTGTGAAACATGTACATGGTTTTTGTATTAGTGATATTTAATGTAACTCCTTTTCCCATGGCTATTTATGCTTTCCATATTATTATGTACAGAAAAGTTTCATAAACTTTTGCTCTTGAGAATTAACTTATCTACATTGACTCCTAGAAAAACCCCTACCAGTGATGCAGTGACATGCAGTGAGGTTTATGGCTGGTGAGGCAGCATTTTTTTTTAGACTTGTGGACCAACTCCCAGAATTCCACAGCCAGGAGGTTCAGTTCCGATTTAAAGCGACAGCATTTGTTTTTTTAAACTTATTGGCTAAATAAAATTCTTTCTTTCTTTTTTCTTTTTCTTCTCCCTTCTTCTCCTTCCTCCCTCTCTCCCTCCTTCCCCCCCTCTCAAACACACATACACACACACACATACAAAGACACACATACATACACAAAGTTGCACCAGGATTCAGAAAATTTAGGTTTTCCTCCTCAGCCCATGTTAGCAATACTGCTAGCAGCATTTTGGCTGGCAGATGTAAGTAGAAGTG